TTTATTCTGCCCAGGCCTGAGTGACCAGCTCCTAAATGAGTATACCAGTTTGCTTTGTGGAATTATCCCAGACTCGAAGTGTATGCCCCTGAAATTCCAGCTTCCAAGTAAGTGGATCAGGGTTTGGAATACACTTAGATTAGCTTTTACAGCCTTCATGTGTCAAAATGAGATGTTTGCCTTCATGTTTCCTTTCCAGTGGGAATAGAGTGTTGGAACATTGGGTGGAAAATAAAACTTGTGTTTTGGTTTTTGTAGCTCTCCCAGGCCCAATACTTCAAAGCATCTTACCTCTGCTCAATATCTATTACTTGGAGAGGATTGAGGAAACTGCCCTCAAGAAAGGTAAGTGATTTTACTATTTCCCTATGATTGTGAATAAGGCACCATGACATTTTAGGTAAATATTACACTTGATATTTGTTTAGAATGCCATTCTTTTCAAAAAGTATTCTTTTATTTTCTTGCTTTGTAGGCAAGGTCATAGTTTCAAGGGACATGCCTGTCAACTGGCCTCATACTGTTTCTCAGTACTTCTGTTCTACCTCCTAATCTGTTGGGTATTAGCTGGGACCTTAGAAGCTAGCAAGCAGTCATCTCAGGTATAGCAGTTGGTTTCTGTTCACTGGGAGCAGCAGAGGAAGGAGTCAGGAATTTTAGATGAAAACTGAGTACGTGCTGGTTGCTTCTGAGCAACTAACTGCCTTTTCCACGAGACCAGAATTGGATGGTGTCCTGCTGCAGTTACAGGTAATTTTGGTCAAGAAACCTGATTAAAAGGGAAAATGCTGTATAGAATTTCAAGTTCTCAAAGGAATCTAGACTTTTTGGAACTACTGAGACTACATGAATCCCCACAACTATTGCCTTTAGACTTTAAATCTCAACTATCCCCTGAAGTCGTCTTTGAAGCAAAAAATAGTGTATCTTTATTATAAAGTATGTTTGCCTTAGAACTATGTATGTATCTTTGAATAGAGGTAATTAGGCTCTAACCTGTTTAATTCATGACAGCTGCAAAGGTTGGATGAACTGCTTATGGGGTAATGAATTTAATGGAGCTGGAATAATTTGGAAAAGGACCGTGAAAATGGTAGCAAACTGAGTGCAATACAAAATCTATCAAGCCAAATTCTAACTCAGAGCCACCCTATAAGACAGAGTAGAACTTTCCCATAGGTTTTCCAAGCTTATAATTTTTATACAACAGGGAGCAGCTGGTGGGTCTGAATCAACAACCTTGAGATGAACAGTCAACTGTTTTAGCTACTGTGATACCAAAGCACCATAGCGTATGATTGATGTCACTGAATTGTACATGTAGAAATTGTTTGAATGGTATATTTTGAGTGTGTATAGTTTTGCCAAAATCAAGTTTTTTTAAAAATACCTGTATATCTTAGATAATTTCGTGAAGCACCAAGCAAATATCAGAACCCTAGTCTACTAATCAAGTAATAAACAGGCACATCACATTTAGTAGCACAGCCACCCAGATCTAAGCTGCTTCCCTAACTTCTCATTGAATATACCTGTTGGAAGCTAACATGTATGTAATTCTTCTTTGTTACGTACTTTACCTGGAAGGATTAATTTACTCATGTAATCCCTCTAACAACCCTATGAATTAGCTATTTTTAACTACATTCTACAGATTAGTAAACCAAGGTAGAAGACGTCTGTTAAGTAATTTGTCCAAGTCACACAGCTAGAAAGTAGAGTTGCTGACATTGAAACCCAGAGGATCTAGCTTTAGAGCCAATAGTCTTAACATTCTGCCTTATTGTTCCTGTGAACCCAGAGAAGAAAAGCTGGTGTACTTAACACACGGTTCCCAGGGAGCAGCCAAGTAAATGTGATCTCTCTCTACAGGCCTCTCCACTCAGGCGATATGGCGCCGGCTCTGGGATGAGCTGATGAAGACGAGGCCTTCCAGTTTGGAGGTAAGTGTAGATAGAACTCTGGCCTGACTTTGAAGCATGAAAACAAGAATAGCACACAAACATGAGGTGGCACTGTTGAAGTAAAGGGGCAGGGATGGAATGCATGTGGGAGGAGGGCTCTGGTGGCCTGTCAAAAGCGTTTGACCCATTGGCATTTTACTCTGGCTTGCTTGCTTGCTGTGTTTGCAGGTAACAAAACAGGAAAGTGTAGTGATAACAGTGGATGACAGAACGAAGATTCACAGAGGTCTTGACATGGCTGGAGCCATGGCCAAATCAATTAAGATGAAATTTAATAGGATTTGGCTGTCTTCACCTGATCCTAAAAATGTGCAATTGTGTGGCCTCAGGGTAGGATGTGAGGGGGCCTGGCTTAGCAATTTTATTTAAATTTTTTTTTCCTTCTGTTTCCAATGTCTCTTCACTACTGGTCATGAGAGTCCCTTCCATCAGTGCCATGTAGTAAACTTCCACAAAGAAATCATTCTCAATTATTACTAAAGTAGACCAGAGTCTCGGAAGCAGCTTAGGCAAAGGAGTAGTTGCACACAATGCCAGTAAGGGCCCAGCCATCACTGTCCTGTTGCCAAAAACCTCAGAAATCAGTTGAGGGTTATTTTAATATAGGGAAAATATATGGAGTAATTTATGATAGCTAATGTCTTACTTTTAGTTTCAGAATTTCAGTCCCAGCCACCTCGTTTCAGCCTATATTACCTCTGCCTCTGTCAAGCCAATTCACATTGTTCTGGGTGTATTATCATTAGCAGCAGTAATAAGTAACTTATTTTTAAAACAATTCTGTGAAACAAGTGATGTTCACATATTACAGCTGAGGGAAGAGATTCTGAGAGGCCCAACGTAGAGGGCAGGACTTTTGGTAGAATGCCAATTATCAGCAAGGGGTCAAACCAGAATGAACCAGTCCAAGCCCTGATATAGGAACAGAGCTGAGACCTAAATCAGAAGTCAGAGGATTTTCTACTGCACCCTAGGATAGGTCAAGGTCTTAGGGGTGATATTGAGAAACACTGGAACATGCTATGTCTTTGTCTTTTGGGCAGTAGATAGCAGTTTTTCTTCACCTCTACTGTATACATTTGAAGATGTGTTTGTTTGTTTTTGTGGGGGGGTGTTCTTATTAAAAGGATTCCTGGATCTCACTTCAGCTGTAGCATAACAGAATTGCTGCAGCTGCTACATGATGTTTGAAAAAGAAAAACTGCACAGGAAGTTTGGATAGCCCACTAAAGGTTGAGGATCACTTGTACTACAGTGTCTAACAAACATCAGAATAGTCTTTTGCCCCCATATCTGTCAAAGCAAATAACCACCTTAAAGAAAACACAGGTCTGATTCCCATCCTCCAAGAATTCTCATCTGCTTGGGATAATAGTCTAAGCCAACAATAAAGTCTAAGCCAACAACTTAGACTGCAAAACTAACAGTCTTGAAGAATAAAGTGTTAGACTTCCTCATGGTGTGACCATGAAGCGCATCCCTAGCAGATAGAAGAAGGGATATGGAAGGCAGGTTTGGGTCAGTGAGATTTACCTGTTTTCCAGAGCAAAGTACTCACATGAGCAAGAGAGGGGAAAATGATAAAGCTTTTTACATAAGCAGTCCATATTTTGGGCGGCTTTGCCTCCACTGGTACCAAAACCAAACCTATTCTTATCGAATGGATTTCAATTCATAGTGACGCTTTATAGAGTGTCCACGGCTGTACACCTTTATGGGAGCAGATAGCCGCATCTCTCTCCTGTGGAGCAATTGGAGCAACTAGTGGGTTTGAACCACCAATCTTGTGATTAGCAGTCCAACTTCTTACTTGACAGCACCACCAGGGAAAACAATGAACCCTGGTTTAGCACTTGGCTACTAACTGAAAGGTCAGTAGTTTGAACCCACAGGTCATTTTATGTGGTTTTAGACACTTTGGTAGGATTTACATCCTTGGAAATTGTATAGGGCAAATCTGTTGTCTGAATTGGCAGTTAGTTTGGTTTGAGTGGGGAGATGGTGGGAATTTTTAGTCAGAATAATGTGATCAAAGTGGTGTTTTACAAAGATGAATCCAGTGCCCTTGGGCAGTCATTGGGGAAGGGGAAATGGGGCTAAGGAACAGTCAGGAAGTTAAGGAAATGACCAGGTGTGAGGGCTGTGATAAAGGTGCCAAGTAATACAGGTATGAACAGGGTGGTGGTAAGTTGGAACAGATTCTTGTAGCAAACACATGGAAGAATCTAGAGTTGAATGACTGCTTCCCTTGGGCGGCACTAGAGCAAAAGAAGGCTGGTTAAACGGTGGCTACTAACTGAAAGCCCAGTAATCTGAGCCCACCAGCTGCTCCCTGGGGAAAAGGTATGGGAGTCTGCTTCTGTAAACATCAAAACCTACAGCCTCATAGCAACTTTACAGGGACCAGTAGGGTTTCCCAGGCTGTACATCTGTACAGGATCAGACCACCACATGCTTTTCCCTTTGGAGTAGGTAGGTTGACCTGCCAAGAAAAGTGGAAATGGTGTTGGGGGTGTTCTACCTGATAGGCTTGAGTTTGTATTCACTCAGTTGAACACCACATAGCAAAAGAATGAGTTCTGGAACCACATTGCCTGACTTCAAATTAGGACTTCTAACCAGTTCTTTCCAGTTTAGTCCCCTGAGATGCTTTCTACTCAATACATGGAGCCCAGGTGGCATAGTGCATACAAGTTGGGCTGCTAACTGCAAAGTTAGCAGTTTGAAACCGCCAGCTGCTCCATTGGAGAAAGATGAGGCTTTCTACTCCTTTAAGAATCTTAGAAACCCACAGGAGCAGTTTTACCCTGTCCTGTAGGGTTGCTGAGTCACAATCGACTCACGGCAGTGAGTGGTAGTAACTCAGTATACTGAGACAGTCTATGTTTTTATAAGATCTCTGGGCATTTCGTATACCCATGTGCTTTTTATATGTATATAAGATCTGGTAAACTCTGATTCAGCGAGCTGAGATGGAAATGTACTTATTAGCAGACGTCGACTCAGAATGATCAGAATGAACTGTTTTGAAGCCCTAGGGAGTATTTTTAGGATCACAACTATCTGCCATATTCTCTGCTTTCAGAGTGTGACCTGTTGGCGAGCCAAGTTTATGGAAGCCTTTTTTTCCCATGTTCTCCGTGGGACCATTGATGTGTCTTCTGACAGGCGTCTTTGTGACCAACGCTTCTCACCTCTTCTGCACAGCTCACGCCATGTTCGACAGCTCACCATCTGCAACATGTTGCAAGGTGCAACTGAGCTGGTGGCTGAGCCCAACCGCAGAGTTCTGGAGACCCTGGCCAGTTCCCTGCACACTCTCAAGTTCCGCCATCTACTGTTTTCTGATGGGGCTGCTCAGCAATCACTTCGACAGCTGTTGCACCAGCTCATTCACCACGGGGCCGTCAGCCAGGTGTCACTGTACTCCTGGCCTGTACCTGAGTCGGCCCTTTTCATTCTTATCCTCACTATGAGTGCTGGCTTCTGGCAACCGGGCCACGGTGGCCTACCCTGCCATCTCTGTGGCGAGGCCTCCAGAGGCCGGGCACCCTCCCGAGATGAAGGGTCTCTCTTACTAGGCTCACGCCGGCCTCGCCGGGATGCTGCTGAGCGATGTGCTGCAGCTCTGATGGCCACACGGCGAAAGAGTGAGGCCAAGCAGATGCCGAGAGCTGCACCTAGCACTCGGGTAACACGCCGAAGCACCCAGGAGAGCCTGCCAGCGGGTGGAACAGACCCTAAGAGGGAAGCGCATCCTCCAGCCACCTCCCAGGAGGCTCCTAGCACTAGGCGACCACCCTCTGCTCCAGCTGCCGCCTCTTCTGCCTCTGCCGCCTCTTCTTCCACATCCTCATCCAAACGGGCTCCAGCTAGCTCAGCCCCACAGCCTAAGTCCCTAAAGCGTTTCAAGCGAGCTGTAGGGAAGAAGGGTGCTCGCACCCGTCAGGGGTCTGGTGCAGAACCCGAAGACCTGTATGACTTTGTTTTCATCGTGGCTGGTGAAAAGGCAGATGGTGAAGAGATGGAGATTGGGGAAGTGGCTTGTGGAGCTTTCGATGGGTCAGACCCCAGTTGCCTGGGGCTTCCAGCACTTGAGGCCTCCCAACGGTTCCGCAGCATCTCCACCTTGGAGTTATTCACGGTTCCACTCTCCACTGAGGCGGCACTGACACTGTGCCACCTGCTGAGCTCCTGGGTGTCTCTGGAGAGCCTCACTCTTTCCTATAATGGTGAGTGCTCAGAAGGGGCAGGAGTTAGGTTTGGTCTCCCATCAATACCAGCTATATTCCCAATTTTGTGTAGAAGAATTGGGAATATGACCAGGAAGCTGGAGATGTGGCCCTGTCTCGTGGGACAGGAGGCTTGATTTATGGTTGGAAGCAGGTTCCTGAGACAGATCAATCAGCTAGAGTACGACTGGCAATCTAAAGGAAGGTTACAGTATATGCAGGTTCAGTCAGATCTGGGTAGGGTCCCATGAGCCCTATCAAAACCCTGTAGAGACAAGGAGTGGGACAAGATATTTTAAGACCACCAATATGCAAGGCAGTCCTTAGGTCTCTCCCACTGGATTATGCTTGGCTAGCAAAGTCACAACTCTGGCTAAATCCAACAATCTGCCTAGCTGGCTGGGAATGGCGGGATGGGATGCCACACAACTATGCAGATGACTACTAAATATTCATGATCATCAACCTCATAAGAACCATCACTGTGCTTGCAACATCAGCTTTCACTCATGCTCTACCACTTCCAAACTTTCTTTCTCAACAGGTGTAATATATTTCCTAGGGGAAATAGAAGTTATCATATAGAAATGACGCAACTTACTGTTGAAAACCTATTATAGCCTACTAAATCTATACTTTCTTCCTTTCACAGTGGAAGATCCAGATCGCCATCTTAGTGCTCTGGACCCATTCCCTCCCATCTTAAAGCTCGTTTCCCAATTTTATTTCTAACTTATATATAAATTAAGGAGCCCTGGTGGCATAGTAGGTTAATCATTGGAGTGCTAACTGCAAGGTTGGCAGTTCAAACCCACTAGTCACTCTTCAGAAAGAAGACGAGACTGTCTCTCCTGTAAAGATGTATAATCTTGAAAACCCTATTTAGTTGTTAAGAATTGGAATGGACTTGACAGCAGTCTACTACACATAGTATGTGTCAGACATGTTTTAAGTACTCAACGTTAATCCTTGAATGTAGGGAATCCCATATTCTCTACTGTTCTATTTGTTTCTGTCCTTCATAAACTGCTGGTGCTTCCACTTTACTTAAAACCACTTCAGCCTCACCTCCCCCTCACCACTGCATCCAGGACCTAGGTCATCCCCTTGTTGCTTAGTCCAACAAACTTCAGTCTTCGTCCTACATTAACTTAGCAGCATTTGCTATTCTTAAGCATTGTCTTCTCTATAAAATACTCTAATTTCTACTGACTTTGGACATTTCCCCCACCCCCTTTGGATACCTTTTTAAAAAAACTTTTCTTTTGGATACCCGTCTCTTAATGCTCAGTTTACTAGGGCTGAAAATTTTCCTACTTTATGCATTCCCCAATTTCACTCCAGTTTCCAACTTTGCTGAGACTTCATGATGCCTTCTAAACTCAAGATTCAAGCATCCAGCTACCTATTGAGCTTGTTGACCACAGCACCCCATTCCATTATGTCCAAGTCGAATGCTTCATCTTCCTGCTTTACTGAGCCGTCTGTTCTCGGCAAATGAAGTGCTCATACCAGCAATATGAAAACTCAGCATTCTCTTATATTTGAGTTATACAATCTTCTCAGGTTACCCTTAGACTCTATATTCTTGCTGTACAACCCACTGTCCACACTGTAACCCAAACACTCTGTGGAAATTACAGAAGTCAGTCCTTCACTTAAAACCCCTCTTCCAGGATCGTTCGTTTTCACAGTTTACCTTAAAGACAATGAAAGTGCCTAAAAGTTTTATGCCGCAAACACTTCCTTTTAGCCTTTCATCTTCTTCAGGGACTGGACTGCTAACTACAACCCCACCAGCCACACCACAGGAGAAAGCTGAGGCTAGCTGATTGTGTAAAGATGGACAACCTTGAAAACCTTATTCCTAGAGTTGAGTGGTTATCGACTCAATGCAGTGAGTTTAGTTTGTTCTTTAGGACTCAGCTAGAATGCTTTCACCAAGAAGCTAGCTTAGGGGTTAAGTGCCCATTCTTTCTACTTCCCCAGTTCCTATCCTGTTTTTCCAAGCTGTGTAGGCTGCTCACTACTGTCTAGCAAGAAGCCTGATAGTTCAATGAATCAACAGGAGCCTGCTCAGTCCAGTGGGAGATGAAGTAAGGGATAGGTTCCAAGGGAATTGCTTTATGGGATAAAGCAACTACCCTCACCTTCCCTGGGTCCTTCTATGGTGATCATTTTCTGGCACAATCCCCACCCGATGAATCTTCTGCTCATTAGGTCACTATCATGCCTCAGTTTTTAGGTATACCCCATGACCAAAATGTCCTTTGTTCAAGGCCCAGTGTCTATAGGAAGTTACTCAGAATCCAGATGAGACCCCTGCTCCATCAGTAGCCATATGCTGCCCAGCCACAGTCTATCTATTTGGTAACTACACTGTTGATGCTGCTTGAGGGCGTGACCCAGTATAGCAGGTACCAGTTTGCTGCTTACCTGAGGAAAAGACAAGATAGTGGATGAGTAACCAAAACAAGTGGTTTTAAGTAAACGATGCAGAGCTGATAATCCAGCGATCTATAGAAGTTTGATTGTTCCTCCCTGCCAACTCCCACATGACTGACATGCTCACTCTCTCCTGTCGTAGGTCTGGGCTCTAACATTTTCCGCCTACTGGACAGCCTGCGGGCCCTGTCAGGCCAGGCTGGATGCCGTCTCCGTGCTCTGCATCTCAGCGATCTCTTCTCACCACTGCCTATCTTGGAGCTGACGCGTGCCATTGTGCGAGCCCTGCCCCTGTTGCGGGTCCTCTCCATTCGTGTTGACCACCCTAGCCAGCGGGACAATCCAGCTGGGCCAGGGAATGCAGGGCCTCCTAGCCACATAGTTGGGGATGAAGAGATACCAGGTGAAGCACTGTGCATGCATGTTTACATGTCTCTACACAAGGGATTTGTGGGGGGGGAAAGGAGCCTCCTGGTCAAACCTGTCACTGTTCATCTCGGCATGAATAGATTGTCTAGAATGTAGTATCCCCTTTAGAGCAGGCCTTGTGCTGGGCAGTTTATTTCATCATACTACCACTAGGGAGTGACTGTGGCAGCTCATTCTTCAGAGAAGGGGTCTGAGCAAAGATGGGTTCTAAGCTGACTGGATTAGGTCCCTCTGCTCTCTTGACTCCTACTTGCTATGTCTCAGACCCCACCCCGCTTGGAATATTGTATCATATCTGCTTGTGTCTTCCGGAACTAAAAGCTCCATGAAGGGAAAGATCAAACTGCACTTGGTGCTCATCCGGAGCCTAGCACGCACAGTGCCTGACAAGTGCTTAGATAAATGATTAGAGACTCCCTTTAGGGACGCGGTAGATGGCCAGCTGGAATGTTCTCTCTCTCTCACCTAGAAAATTGCCTGGAACAGCTGGAAATGGGATTCCCAAGAGGAGCCCAGCCAGCCCCACTGCTCCGCTCTGTACTGAAGGCCTCAGGTTCTCTGCAACAGTTGTCCCTGGATAGCGCCACCTTTGCATCTCCCCAGGATTTTGGACTTGTGTTACAGACACTCAAAGGTAGGTGGGACCCAGCCAGAATGGTGAAAGCAGGGTAGGCGGGAAAGGTGCATTCTCTGGGAAAGCTAAGGCTTGTGGCCTCTGCCTCCCATTCAGAGTACAACCCAGCCCTGAAGAGGCTGAGCTTCCACGACATGAATCTGGCTGACTGTCAGAGTGAGGTGCTCTTTTTGCTACAAAATCTGACTCTCCAAGGTGAGTTCCCCCATTCAGGGGCTGGGGCTTCCTGGGTTCTCATTGTGAACAAACAAAACTGTTCCCTTCTTGGTCATGTGTCCTTAACTATAACGGATATAGAAGCTCCATGATCTTCCTTCTAAAAGGCGCCCAAATCAGTTCTCCATGGAACATAGGAAGCAAACTGTTAATATTCCCCCCAGAAGTTTTACTTACTTTCAGGAACTGATAAAAATGGTGATAGCGAGGAGGGATAAATGTGCAGACTTAGGGTGGCCAGTGGATAAAGAGGGGCCAAAGGAAGTGGGTAGAGGATTAGTTGTACATAGAACTTTTGGTACACTAAACATTAACTTGTATTTCGTTCTATCCTTGCTTGGGGTCTTAAATTCCTTGCCCTTTCGTGGGTCCCTGTAAAATGCTCATACCCCAGTGTTAGAGCCAACTGAAACAAGAGGGACAGCACCAGTCTTAATGCAGCCATTTTCTCTTGACAGAAATCACCTTCTCCTTCTGTCGTCTGTTTGAGAAGCGCCCAGCCCAGTTTCTGCCTGAGATGGTTGCTGCTATGAAGGGCAACTCCACACTGAAGGGCCTTCGGCTGCCAGGGAACCGTCTGGGTGGGGACTGGGCCCTTGAGAGGGGAAGGGAGTCAGGCTTATGACCTAGAAATGCACTGGGTGAGGGCATGGACCTCTCACTGGGAGCACTGGGGTTGGAACACAGAGTACTTCTGTGCTGGGACTTTGGGAACAGTCAGTTGGGCCCGGATGTCTTGTGCCCTGTTCTGGTGGAGGTGACGGGTATTTCTCTCCTACCCAGGGAATGCTGGCCTGCTGGCCCTGGCAGATGTTTTCTCAGAGGATTCATCTTCCTCTCTTTGTCAGCTGGACATCAGGTACACAGGGAGGGACCAAGGGATTGGGGCTGCAGGGTCACAGACCAGGGATTACTTCCTTCCTGGATATCTAAATCCATCTCACCCCTACCAGTTCCAATTGCATCAAGCCAGATGGGCTTCTGGAGTTTGCCAAGCGGCTCGAGCGCTGGGGCCGTGGAGCCTTCGGTCATCTGCGCCTCTTCCAGAACTGGCTGGACCAGGATGCAGTCACAGCCAGGGAAGCCATCCGGCGGCTCCGGGCCACCTGCCATGTGGTTAGCGATTCGTGGGACTCATCGCAGGCCTTTGCAGATTATGTCAGCACTATGTGATGGCCCATACCTTGCAGGCCCATGCTCAGTACCATCAGCTTGCAGGGGCTGAAGCATGGGTTGCCCAGAACCCCCAACTCTTTCTGCCACTTTTCCTCTTTCCTATTTCCCCTGTACTGAGGTCCTGGAAGACTTGATGCAGCCCAGCAAAGGCATTCCAATGTTGAATTTAGAGCCTTTGGGACTCTCAGTACCCTGGGCCTGGAGATTATAGTGGTCACCATAGTTGCTGAGAACAGCCCTTCCCTCCCTGCCCCAGGGTTCCTGCTTCCCTCTTCAGGAAGGCGCCCAGGCTATAGAGAAGTGTAGGAGTGCCCGCTACCAGGCCTCTTCCCTACTGGGCTCATCATGCTGCTCCCAGGCCTCAGTCCCTTTTCATACCTTTATTCCTTTCTTTTTTTTAACCGAAAAAAAAAGTTTTTCTTACAAAAAAAAAATAAATTTTGGGCAAACATCATGCAGCCCTTCTTGATGCTTTTCTCCCAGAGAACAAAATGCAGGAGGACCTATGGGGCAGGGAGCCACTTTCCATATCCTCCTCCAGCTACACCAAGAACAGCTAGTTGTCAGTGGAGCCCCCGCTGCTCCTCGTGCGAACGCTGGTGGAAGACGAAGGTGATGGCAGCGGAGGCAGCATCCCAAGCAGCCTGGAGTACCTCATCTTGGAGTCCCCGCTTATCAGTGCTGTGGTTCCACTGAGCCAGGTCTGAGGTGCAGTCAGAACCGTCAGGAGGGGGCCGCACTTGGCGGTTGTTGACACAGCGGCGACAGCGCAACCTGGGGGTAGAGGACAGAGGTCAGACCACTGCAGATTCCATATCTAAGCTAGACAGGGAGCTCAAAGGTAAAGGGCAGCACCCACCTCTCATGTGTGTCACTGAGGCTAGCCTCATCCAGAGTAAACAGCTCCTTCAGCTCGCCCAGAGAGAAGTGCCGCTCTACATCTTCCTCCTCGTCTACCACACAGCTACTCAATGCTTTCTTATGGCTCTGACGCTGGAAGATCTTCTCCTCAATGGTTCCTGCCTGTGGGGGTTGGGGATGGGAGGAGGATTTAGTTATCCTTGTTAAGGATACAGGGAAGCCCAGGAAAAGTATGAGTCCCGTAGCAACAGCTCTGCTCAACTGAACCCCATTTTCCTCGTTTCTCTTCTAGGAACATAGCCTGTGCATGTCTGCTCACCCAGGCTACTTTCTCTATGAATGGAGGGTGTCGGGGTCTCAAGTTCCTCTTGGGATAAACTGGGGTTTGTCAAGTCTCATTCAGAAAACATCACTTGGGTATTTCCTCTTACCCAGCCCAATGCCAACACTAGGACACAAAGAAGACTCAAATACAATCCTGGTCCTTGAGCTCCTAAGCCTAGTGGGAGAGACAGGCACACAAAGAAATTGTTACAATCATGGGAATCTACATAGGATACCTAGGGGCCCACAAGAGGGGTTAGTGGTGTGATGTTGAAAGGTATTCCAGTCTAGGAACAAAGAGATAGTGGCCTGATGGAGGACCATAGTTGGGCGTATACTGACAGCTGGCACTGGGCAAGTTCATTAGGGCGATGCTATGGAGAACTTTGGATGTGAGGCAGAAAAGCTTGAACTTGTGCAAGTTATAAAAGGCAAAACCAAAATTTTTGGAACGCTCATGCTAAAAATAGTATATTAATAATTGCTTAGAAAGGATAAGACCAAAAGCAAAGAATTGGGAAGCTGCTACGGTGTCCCAAGTGAAAGACGATGACTTTGGCGTTAGCCAGGGAGGGAGGAAAGAGGAAGGTTAAAGAGATTTCGGTAAGGTGAAAACAAAATTGGCCAGAAGCTGCTAGGAGGCAGAAAGTAGCCAGGAAAAGGATAATGGATGGAGCCATTAAATGATGGAATTGGGAGTACATTTTAGTTGTGCTGCAGCTACAGTGCTCATAGGATAACCCAGTGGAATGGGGCTGGAGCCCAGGTAAGCGATCTGGGCTAAAAATGTACAGTTGGAGACTCGTTAACATAAAGAGTAGATGTAATAACAGAACCAAAGATGAGAGAATTTTAAGAAGAGAGTAGGAGAGTCAACAGTTTCAGATACACAAAAGAAACCAACAAGGGTCTCTTGGCAAAAGCCAGCTGTATACTCACAAGCTGTTTCAGTAGAGCCTAAGGGGAGAGAAACCACACCGATGAGATCTAATGGGTGAGTGCAAGATGGGGAAGTCACGAAGCTTATCTGCAAGCCCTGGAAAAACCAGTGAGTGGAAAGCAACCCAAGGTCATCACTAGAGTAGGATAGAATTTTAAAATTGCTTTTTGAAGTAGGAACTATTTTAACTCATTTACAGACTTCAGGGAAATAAAAGCAAAGAAATGAAAAGATCGGGTATGGTCGAGCTAGAGCAGAGCTGGAAATAAAAGATTTGAACAGAGAAGAAAATATTTTGAGACGGGAAGGGAAACGAGATGAGTGAATTCATGCCTAATGGCTTACATTTTCTCTGAGGTACAAGACAAGATTCACAGAAAGAATAACGGCAGAATTCAGTGTAAGGAAGTAGTGAAGAGCAGAAGTGGCTGCTGAAAGCCATGAAATAGGCCCCAGCGCCCGAATGGCAGACCTGCCTGTGGTGGTGCGGAGACAGAGCTGAGGACGGCAGGGATGGCTCAGGTCCGAGGGAAAGACTCATGAGGACCAGGCTGGGTAGAAGAGGAAACCACGCCAAATGGATTGGGAGAGGGGGTGGTGGCAGTTTCCAGAAGCATTCAGGTGAAGATGTAGTGGGTGTACGTCAAGAGAAAGCGGTTAAGCATAGGAGATAAAAGCAGAATGATAGTAATTGAAGTCTTAAATTTCAGGGGAGTGCTTCCATGACAGTAATGAGGTGGAGGGAGTGTTAGGAAGCCTTCAGAGATGAGGGTCGAAATGGGATGGCTAGAGGACTCAGTAGCTGTGGGGTCCTTGAAATCAGCTGTGATGACAGCAGGAAAATATGGTAAGCTGGTGCCCAAAGTCATTGATGAATGAGGAAAATGGTAGAGAGGTGACTGCAACAAGGTAGACAAGGTCACTAGCATGATGTCCAATGGAAGAACTTTGGGTTGGAAGGCCTGCAAGCATAACTGAGAACTTGGATAATGCCAATACCACTTCTTTGCCCCACAGGGTACAGTAAAAGTCAGGAATAAAGGAAAGTGCCCCGTGGAAAGGATAAGGCCATAGAGGAGTTTACCACAAGGCAGATACTCAGAAGGCATACTAAGGTGGGAACGAATTCTGGGCTCCAGGCTAAGCCCATACATAGCTTGGCCACTCCTAAGAGACACTGAAAAACCACCCGAGATGGTCCTGAAGGTCTTGTTCAATGGCCCACCAATACCCTGACCACTGCCGCCACCCTTACAGATAGCAGGCGGTAGATGAAGCACATCTTCTTTTGACCGTCACGCCAGACCCTCGCCATAGCTTGTTCATCATTGGCTGGGTTCCAGTCAGGATCAAACATGACCAACCGGTTCGCCCCGATGAGATTGAGGCCGCAGCCCCCAGCTTTGCTGCTCAGCATGAAGACAAATTCAGGGCTCTGGGAAAATGGAAAAAAGTCTTTTGCAGCCAGAGATCCCACTCAGTCCATCTCTTCTCCCTCATGCCTTTGATACTATGTTCAAACCAATTGTGAGAACAACCAGTTTGCTTACTAGCCAGTTTCCCATCCCAGCCATTATCAACCAGCCTAGCTCAACTGTACAACAAAACACTCCAAATTCACTGCCATCAATTGAATCCAACTCATAGTGACCCTATGGGTTACAGTAGAACTGCCCCGTGTTCAAGGCAGCAAATCTTTTCAGGAGCAGAAAGCCTCAGCCTTCTCCCTCCGAGCACCTGGGGGTGGGGGTGGGGGTTACCTTGCTGACCTTGTGGTTAGCAGCCCGATAGGTGACCCGCTATGCCCTCGAGTTCACATCTGCCAGAATTAGAACCAGGGGGACCCTGAGGCAGAGGTCTCTAACAGCCTCTGGCAGCCATTGATTCTGTGACAGCAGCAGTGGTGTGGGAGAGGGGTTGTGCATTTACCGATGGAGAGTTGAAGCGTTCCACAACCTTGGCCCGCTTCTTAATAGACATTGTGCCATCCAAGCGGACATACAGGTACCTACAGAGGAATCCAAAGATCAAGACCCAAGAAAGAAATAGAGCTCTTTGGGGCTGGAGCTTATGAAGGAACTGAAATAACTATGCCTGAGGCTCTTCACTCACAGTCTGAGGTCCTAAACCGCACCCCCCTCCCCAAAGGAAGGGCAAGGGGCAGGGAGCTAAAAGGTCCAGGTCTTTGGGGAATACCTGAAGGACCAGGGGCTATTTTGCTTACAGGTGGCACTAGAGCCATCAAGCAACAAGGGAACGGCTATCTCTTAGAAGTCCCTCCTGTACCCACATCTTGGTCCACATCTGATCAGAACACCTAATCTTCCTAGGGGGAAAGTAGAGAAGGCTCCCCTTTGGCAGTCTGATGAGGCTCTTTCCTACCTTCGGACCCGGCAGAGTTTCTCAAAGAGATCCAATGTCTGAGTGTAATTGGACACCAACACTACTTTGTCATTGCTTCGGCTCCGAGTCACAGCCAGAATGTAATCAAGGACCAGCATCTTACCTGGAGAGAGCAGCAACTATTAGCCCCAGTGGGCCCACTCAGTGCCCAGAATTCTTACTCTTGATATCCTGATTTTATAAGCTAGTGATAATGCAGACTCCCACCCCATACCATCCTACCGTCCTCTTAAGGGAAGCCAGACTGGTGGGAAAGGGCTTACCTGATAGTTGGGGCTCTAGAGCCTTGGAGCTATAACCAGGTGGGAAGATGTCCATGGCTCCCTCAAAGCCATTCTCCTCTTCCACACACTTGTCATATATCAGAGCTGGATCTAAGGGCAGGGGGTGGGGGTGGGGGGAGGCTTTATTTTCACTGCTCTCTAGAAACCTTCCCCAGTGCTAACCTTGTTTGGTTAGCACCACCTCAAATCCCAGGCTACACTTAGTGGGATGGACAATCTTGATGGACTTATTCACTCATATGTTTGCCACACAAGAAGGGGAGCTATACCAGAGAGAGAAAAGTTTCCCTATTATTTTCCCTCTGCTCACTATGCTATCTGCATAAATGGGCTCCTTTGAAAGCCCACTGTCACACATACATACACCGCCAGCATCAGGGTGTGTGGGGCGGAAAGCAAGCGGAATTTTACCAAGCAGGGTCTTTTTTCAGCACACACAATACAGGACCCGTGCCTTGGGGAATACTGGAATCATCTACTGGTTTTATGAAGACACTGGGCCATCTACAGGAGCCTTCAATCTGCTCAGTGTCATGGAGGCTCTCAGGGTCTGGACTCAACTCACGGTTGCACAGCTTCTTCAGAGAAGTGATAGAAGAGAGGGAAGAAACACTCATCTTGCCCTCACACAACTCTTCCGCTGGTTTGGCTTGTTTCAGAAACCTCCTGTATACTTCCGTCTGGAGGGGCGTGAGCCTGAAAAAGGGCAGCTGAGTGAGTAGGCAAGGCTGGTCCACACTGCCTTCTGAGGACACTGGACAGCCCAGCCATGCCTCGGGGCTTAGCCTTACTCACCCACCCCACATCCCTTCAATTGAGTTCATTACCTACAACAAACCACTTGTTCAATCTTCACAGGCAAATATTTAGAAAGGATATCAGATGTCCTCCGGATCAGGCACCTGGGGAAATGATAGATAAAAAGCCAAGGGGGTTATAAAACTGTCATGCTAACTACTAGAATAGCAGCTTCCAGCCAAAGAGCAAGATGGACTCTACTCTTAATTTTAAGTATCAAATGTCAGCCCTATGGGAAAAACTCGTCAGCCCTGTGGCAAGTTACCTAAGTCAAGGTCATGGGAACAGAGAGCTGTCCAGCAGCCTTTCCTACTCACTCAGCTGTGAGTGACAACTCTCTCTTCTAACAGGTTGGCTGGTCTTTAAGAGAAGACCCAGGTCTCCCACTGAACTCAGTGCTCTGAAAGAAAGCAAGCTACAAACTAAGTCCTTAGGGATATTTCTGCTTGCATTAGCCTAAAGGCCTGCCACAGAGCCTTAGCCTTAATGAACTTAAGCCCAGATCTCTTGGAAGACCAGGAAGGGCAGACTTCAAACACACTTGACTCTCCTTCTACCATCTACAATTGGGTTGGAGGTAGCCAGACAGCTAGGAAGAGCAGGAAGCCTCTTCAGGATGCAACCACACAACATGCACACCAAGAACAGGAGTCCAGGCTGGGATATGGGGCTCTACGGGGGAGGAGCAGGAGGCGGGTGCTTTTTGGCCTAGGAGCCACTTATCTCCTTCAGATCTACTCCTACCTGTCAAAGAAGGGCTATTGGCCTTGAGAAAGTAAGTCTGGTCTGAGAGACAGGAAGCTTGTACAGGTCTAAAGGATATTTTGCTCAGAAACTACCAGCACCGGAGAAGAACGTCCTAAACAGTTTGGTAAGCAGTCCCAAATCAGAGCATAGGGCCCTGGCCAGAAAGAGAGTCCAGTGCTGGTCATGGTTAGGGGTACTAATCCCACTCCCCTCCTAAAGTCCTAGCCCTTAAGGTTTCCCACACACGCCGAAGTCCCACAGGACTGGCTTAGGTGGCCTGGGAGGCAATTCTGATGACCTCCCAGGGGAGTACCTGAGGTGGGGTGCTGCCGAGTCCAGCACCCAGGCCACCATCATTACCTATTCACAATGCTGATGAGCTCCCGCAGCCGCTCCTCTCCGAGATGCCTGTCAGCCTCACTGGCAGCTGCGTCTCGACCTTTCAGAATTGGCAACTCGAAATGCTTCTTGAACTCCTGGGCAGTCCCTGAGCACAGCAGAGAGAAGGCAAATACGAGCATTAAGAAATAGGAGAGGTAGGGAGCAGGGAGGGAGGGAAAAAAATGAGAATCAACAGATATCATTAGACAAACAGCAAGGTTGCCAGATAGTCAGCCAATATTAGAAAAAAAAATCAGTAGAATTTCTAATAAAAAAATTTAGATATCTAGTTAGAATCAAAAAGCTAGAAATAAATCTAAATACATATATTTTTAAAAGCCATAAAATATTAGTGAATGGACTTAAAATGCAAAGGGTCGAGAACAGCCGGAACAATATAAAAGAGTGAAAATATTGTTGGAAGACACACACTAATATATATCATCTTATTATTGAGCTATAGTAACTAAGGCAGACAAATAGACCAATGAGGCCGAATTTAGCCCTGAAATAGAGCTACAAATATATGGAAATGTGCTTTGTGAAAAGTGTCACTAGAGTGAGAAAAGAAGACCCTTTACTGGTGCTTCTTGTGCACTACCCAACTGGTTACAGCTGATAAAATCCTTTATGTGGTGAGCTCCAAAGAAAAAGGTGATTTTAAAGGGGATCTGGTAGACCCTGAACTACTGTGGTGGTGATAAGCACTGTTGTAATAAAGCCACCGTTCTCCTACAAAACACCTGAATACATTTGTAAAAGACCATTACCAAGGCATTTTCAGCATCTATTCTGAGGTGATATTTAAGAAAATAAACATAAAATTGTAAATTAGTTTAAAGACCTACAAAAGAATGTGCTACCGAATTTTAAATGTTTGCAATATCCTTGTCTAAAACAAAAGACAACGTGGACTTAAGTATTTTCTTTAATAGCATTGTCTTTTTTTATTTTTTTTAATCCAATCTTCCTCTTACTCTTTTCATTGTGGAAGTCTTTTTACCTTCCCTCTTCACAGAGAAGTACTGACTTCATGGTACACATTCTAAAGCATTTCTTCTTTGAATACTTTTGTACATTTTTATCAATTATCCAACCATCTCTTCTAGCGTAATAGATAGATACATAGATAGATAAATGGTACTGGGCAACTGGGTAGCTATCTGGAAAAAAGACAAGTCTTGAGCCCTGGCCATACACCTACCTGCATAAAAATGAACTTTAACTTAATACAAAGGACTCAAATCCAGAACATATGAATAGCTACAAATCAATAAGAAAAGGTTAGACAGACCCAATTGTTAAAAATGTGCTTCATGAAAAAGGGCAGAAACCCCAAAGGCCAATGAAACCACCAAGTTATTACTAACAACCTATCAGGAGGACTAAGATTGAACAGAAATAAAATACTGGGGATGACCCAGTAGACGTAGTCAGCAAACTATAGCCAAGGGCCTGTTTCTGGAAATACAGTTTTATTGAAATACAGCCACATTCATTCACTTACATACCATCGTGGCTGCTTTATGCTATAGTGGCAATGGGCAAGTTGTAACAAAAAGTTTCACCCGCAGTCCTAAAATATTTATTACCAAGACCTTTAAGAACAAGCTTACCAACTCCAGATAAAGAGACACTGGAATTCTCCTACATTGCTGGCACAATCACTTTAGAAAATTGCTACCAGTGTGTTTGGACTACAGCTGAAAAAATGGGTAATGCTTAACCCAGAATTCCACTCTTGGACATGCGGCAGTAATGCACACTATGTAAAGGCACCTAAGTGAATATTTATAGCAGTATTATTTGAAAGATTTGAAAACAATTGTTCATCAATGGCAGAATAAATTCTGGTGTGTTCATAAAATGAAATAATATGTAGCAATTAAAATGAACAATTGTTGCACATAATAACATGGATGGATCTCATTAACATAATGTAGAACAAAAGAAACCACTACAAAAGATGACCCAGTTGGCTCGGACAGCGTGGTTTGAACTGCACAGGCCCACTTACGCAGAGATCTTCTCCCCCTATTGCTAGTGCAGTGGGCTCAAGGATTTGGAGCATCTGCTTTAAAAACCATGGCGACACTCATCCCCATGTGAAGACTGCATCTCTCCCGACCTGGTGTGGTTACATGAATGTGTTCCCTTTGCAGTAAGTCTACCACTCAGCAAGCTCTCTGTCTCAAGAGATTGCCCTGAGCACCAGCAAGTTAAGGTTCCACTAGCAAACTCTTCCACAAGTGCAAGAACTGCCCAAGACAGTCTTCTCTAAGATCCAAACGCTGTGAGACAGCTGGGCTATATGGACCAGAAATGTGGGCATCATATTTCCAATACCTGGTCATAGTGACACCAGGTCATGCACTGCACAGTGGAAAACGGGCCAGAGGGGGCCTGAGTTGCTCAGCAGAGCCGAGGCCTTCAATGGCATGTCTGCTCCACAGGAAGAAACCCCTTCCTGTACGAGTGGCGAGTCAGCCACACGTTAGCTAGCCTTTTTTTCCTGCCCCTTCTCAGTTGGAGCTATACTCCCAAGGCCGGTGGGGGCTCCTCTGCAATATGGCAGACAAGGCTAGATTCTTACCCAGGATGCCAGAATTAACAAAATGCACCAAGCTGAAATACTCAAGGAGATCATTCTGGATGGGGGTCCCGGAGATAAGCACACGGCGGCTGGTGTTCAAACTGTCCAGGGCCTGGTAAGTCTGATTCTCAGAGTTCTTGAGCCTGTGTCCCTGCAAGGAAATCAATCGAATCTCACTTAGGCCTGGGAGCAGTGGAAGAGCCCTCGGCTGGCAAGATCTGTATAAACAGGAAAAGGGGAGTCACAACATTAAAGGTCCTGGAGGCTTGGGAACTGGGTAAGGAACAAGAGTGTTGCTTAGAAAGAAATGTCAGGCTCAAGCTATAGACTAAGTCAGTGGTATAAACAAGGATTCCACCTCTTCCATCTCGTCCTTTTCCTGTCCCGATGTCTACTGCTGTAGCAGCCTACTCAGCCTAGCCGTCTCAGATATGCTGTCTTCTGGAGGTCCTTTTTGCCAATGGCACAACCAACCCAGAACTTTCTGAGTGTACTAATGCCATCTGTGTTAGCCTCTAGGCCAGTGGTTCTCAACCTTCCTAATGCCACGACCCTTTCATACAGTTCCTCATGTTGTGGTGACCCCAACCATAAATGTATGTTCGTTGCTACCTCATAACTATAACTTTGCTACTGTTATGAATTGGGCAACTCCTATGAAAGGGTCATTCGACCCCCAAAGAGGTTGAGACCCACAGGTTGAGAAGGGCTGCTCTAGGCTTTGTCTAACCTATCAGTGTAAAAGGGATTCAGCCAGGCTGCTCCTTGTCTTTTCTTCCCCAGAATCCACACAGCCTGTGTACCTGAAGAGCCTCCTTCGGCCTCCCTTGCACTTCCTTCTTCAGCAATCTCGATGCTCACCATCCAATGCAACTTATTTCTCTCCTGTCAGCCTTTTTCAAGGAAACTTAAAAGGACCAGACTGTCTTCCCTCTTTACTCAGGACTACCTGGCCAGGGCAGGCCCCACGACCCCCACACTGGGCGGCTGCTGTGACTGTTAGGTGTCAGTGAGTGGGTTTGGGCTCATTTGGACCCTCTGCCTAAGAGAATGCCACGCTGCCCGGCCCATCCTCACAATCATTGCGGTGTTTGTGCCCACTAGTCTCTCTCCCCTGTGCTCCTCGGGCAGTCTATACAAAAAGATGGCTGCAACTTAGTGGACTCTTTTAATGCGCCAGGGATTATACTTTACCCACATTCTCCCCATAATCCACAGTCATTAAATGAGTAGAAAAGATAATACCTACTTTACAGAAGAAACCAAGGCTCAGAGAGGTGAACAGAGCACATTGGAAGATCTAAAATTCGTGCCACAGCCAAGGCCGACCCCCCAATCACCTGATTCCCCTGCCTATTTCAGAGTGCTAAGAGGGTCAGGGATTTTGTACATGAGAATTAATACAACGACCAGTGTGTTCCAGAGAAAAGGACCAGCTGGGAGGAAGTCACTATGGGTGTTGAGAACCTGAAAGCACAGGGTCGCCACCTTCCCTTTCCAGGGTCAGAAGTCCAACTCTCTTCTCCTGTAGGAGGCTGTCTTTCAGGACGGTGGCTTCCCAGGTCCCTGACAACAGACAAAGCTAACAGATCAAGAGGGAAATGAGTAGAAAGGAGGGCCAGCAGACTGCACGAGGCAAGAGGCAGCCTGCTCCCTTGTGCCCTAGAGTGAGCTCATAGAACAGGGCAGAGTGAGAAAGAAAAGGAGCATTCGTGTGTGGACGCTCCCCAGTCTTCAAAACCTCTTTCTATACCTATAGCCTGCCTTCCTCTTTCACAACGCCCTGGCCTCCGGACCAGACTCCAGACACAGTTCTGCTCCACAGAGATGCCAAGGGCCCAAGCTAAGTGCATGCCAGACCTGTCTGCTCTCTTATTCTTTCCTAGAGGAAGGGCCTATCGGAATACTAAGAGTATGCCGGAATGCCAGACACGGAATAACTCTTCACAAGGACCAAAGGCCAACTGGGAAATAGGAACCCCCTGCAAAAAGAAGCCTTTCTGGTCTCCGTCTGAGAGACCCTCGGATATTAGGGAAACCTACAGTCCCAAAGCACAGTCAAGGTGGACAATCCAGATAAGCCTAAGTATTCCAGACACTCGCTCACTAGATCCCCAACTGCACACAAAATGACCTTAGTTCCTTTTCCCCAAGAAGTGCAAACAATGGCTACAGCCCAAGTTCTCTTGTCCTAGAATCTCTATGACACTAGGAAGTTCCCAGCCACCCTTCCTTCTAAGTGTTCCTTTATATATTTATCATAATACCGGGAAGGGCCAGGAAGCATTCTCCACCGAGTTTCCTTTCGTCCCCAAGAGAGGAATTAAGAAGCCAATAGCCATGACTATGTGAACGAACTGCCCACATCGGGCGTGTGCGCATGCAGGAACCTGTTCCCCGAGCCCATGACCAAAACCAGAGCTGATCCTTCCCAAACTCCCACCACCCACCAGGCGCTGTCAGAGTTCCTTCACGTCACTGCATGTAAGGCCCACGATAATCTTTAAGAGACAGCTGTCATCATCTCGTCGGAGTGGTGCAGGGGAAGAAAGGCTCAGGTGGCTAAGTACTTTGTGCAGGTCACGCTCCTGATAAGGGTCAGAGCCGAGTTTTGAATTCAGGTCCAACTCTTATACCCGCTTCCCTCAGCACTGTGCCATGTCCCTGAGGCCTACAAAGGCTTGTCACGACTCGATGGCAGTGAATTTGGTTTGGGGGTTTTAGACTAAGAATATTGTCAGAGGCAGCAAAACCAATCCATCAGCCCTTGTTTGCTCCCTGTCGTGGGAGACTGGTACCACCACAGGGTCCCCGTCCCAGTCTCCCCAGAGGAATCACCCCCCCGTCCGAAGCAGTCCCCAGTGACTAGCACTGGCTCTGGGTGGCCACGCTACCGAGGTCCCCTTCTAGCTCTCACCCGTACCGCGGAGAGAGAAGTACCTCGTCACAGATGACCAGTCCGACGCTCCCTTTCTGAAGGACTCCGACATGGAGGCGGAATGTCTCATAGGAAATGATGAGGATGGGAGAGGGCACTCTGGCTCCACGTTGGTTCATGAATCCTTCTACAACAGAAGGGCGTCAAGGGCACATCAAAACGCATTCCTAACGAGCTGACCAAAAGCTTCCTTCCCCAGCGATTAGAATATCACATACGAAACAAAGCAGCAGGCTGGCTAGAGGCGTGCTGCCAGCTTTGTTAAGACTCCATACCCAGCTTTCGGTCTATCTCATCTTTTGAGCCTCCGTCGATGGCCAGAGGTTGGATCCTCCCGCCAAGCCACTTGCCAACCTCGTTGTACCAGTTCTTCACCAGACTGGAGGGCGAAACCACCACTGCCTTGTCGATTTCGGGCTTGCACTCTGGACTTTGCCGTAAAAGTGTCCACATCAGGGTGATGCACTGCAGCGTCTTGCCCAGGCCCATCTCGTCCGCCATGATGCAGCCGTAGCTGCCGGGGATCCGCCGACTGGTGACACACTCCCACAGGAACTTCACTCCCTGCGCGGTAAGAGCACTCAGTCCGCCTTGCCACGCCAACTGTCGCCATCCCAGGCTCAGCCTGCGGCCCACTTACCTCTCTCTGATGAGGTCTTAAGACCTTACTGAGAACAGGATCCACAACCACGTGCACGGGGAGTTTTTCCCTGAAAAGTTCCAGCAAAGAAAACATGAGAATCCAGACCCGGGCATGGGCAAGGCCTCAGGAAGTGGTCTTGCTAATCCAGAAGGAACACTGGCCGCTGCCTGATAGAGAGGACCTTCCTGGCCTGAGAGACACCGTGGAAGGAAATGCCTGCTCTGGGAGTGAGAAAGCCAGGGGGGTGGGCTTCCTATGTGATCACCTCGGTCCCCCCTGCTCCCCTGGGTGAGCAGAAACAATTGGTGAGACCCCCTGTTAGCAGGACATGAGCCCACTCCTTCCCCAGCCACCCCCTCTCTGAAAACACTCTCATCTCAAGGAGAAAAGGAAATCACCCCCAAAAGCCCTCCTCTCTCCCAGGCACGTGCACCTCTCAAGGACCGCCCCAAAACGCCAACACACATACTTGTCAAGCTTCAGCTGGTCATGGGCGCTCAGCCCCGGAGGCTCGTACAGAACCAAGGCTCCTTCTTCCAGAGGGTCATGGAGGGCCCGGCGGACTCCAGCCTTTTTGAGGCCCAATGCCCGAGAGCCCAAAGGACCTAGAAACCAACCATCTGTCACCTGAGCCCAGCTCCAAGCCTCGCCTTCACGCCCCATTACCATCTACACCCTCTCTCCAGGAACCTGCCCCACCCCCAATCCAGTTCATGCATCTCGACCTGACCATTGATCCCGTCTGCCTCAGAGCAGAGCTTTTCCCCTTTTCCTTTCTCCCATAACTGAGAAGTTGTAGAGTGCTGGGCCTGGTTCAACTCACTCCTGTCAATCCCGGGAAGGTCTGGAACCTTAAAAGGGCCTCTCAAGTCGGAGAGGTCTTAGGCGGATCTTTACCCTCAGCTCTGGTGTTAGCAGACTGACATGCTTCCCACCCAGGCCAGCTCATCAGACATGCTACTGAGTCAGTCCCCACAGACACTGCCCCAGAGGGACAGGTGATGTTGGCAGCCCCTGTCGAGGCGATCTGTCACGCAGGGCTTTCATGCAGGCCTCGGGAGAGTGTCCCCAGGCGCAGTCACTGCTGGTCTGGGGGGTAGCGCTGATGTTAAGCTAAGCACATTCACACATGGCCAGTCCCAAAAAGTCTAGATTTTACCTTGATAATTTGGAATGGGGATTTTGAAAGGCTTTGACAAAATGCTTCGTATAAATGCTTCCTGCAGAGAAAGAAGAGAAACAGGAGTTCAGGATCGATTGGTGAGGTTAGAGGGCGGTATTCTTACAAATACAGTCTAAAAACTTATTTAAGAAGCATTGACACTCAGATATATCTAGGACATAAGAAGATTGTGGTTCCCATCTGATTTTATGCCAGAGCTTCCATTGTTTAGCTTAATGTAAAACTCTAGAAACACACAGGGGCAGCAAAGTATAACTTGTGTCTAACGTCAACCACGAGGCTCAGAACCCATCCACTCAAGAAAGACCACACCAGTGAGAACATCTGGCTTTTCCCTAAGGTGCAACACACCTTGAAAGATACAACTTCCCGAACCCCAATATTAAAAGAAAGCTCTACGCCTGGGTTCAACCATGTCCACATAGGGCTACAGCTTCCCAAACATACCCCACAATCTTTTTCTTATCACAATGCCCCGCCTCTGGGCACTAAACAGCCCTTCAAGGGGTACTGGTAGTAGGACTAAGCAACCAGGAATAGTAAAATCCCAACAGTGACAACAATATGCTGGCTAACAATGGATACCAGACAGTGCTGAACTCCTGAGCTCCTGGTACCATGTAATGTGCACTAACGACCCACCTGAAGGGGCCGTGCTGATGCTGTGGGCTAGGCGTTGAGCCGAGTAGCTGCAAAATTGATGGTCACACCACCTCCCATCCCCTGCCAGCTCCACAGGAGAAAGATGATGCTGTTTCCATAAAGATTTATAGGCTCAGCTGTATGAGACCCCAAGAAAATGATTTTTTTTAAAAGAAAGATTTCTAGGCTTGGGAATCCTGTGGAGAGTTGTTAAGGGTCAGAATCCACTCAGAGGTAGTAGGTTTGGTTTAGCAGCCGGTTCCCACTAGTCTCTGGGCTACACTGAGCAAAGGGTGAGTGTGGGGAAGGGGGTGCAAAGGAGGACGCAGGCGACCCTTGAGCTGACTCTGACGACTGGCCTGAACGTTCCGCTCCACACACACCTGAGCCCTCTGGGAAGGGAAAATAGCCCATGAATCTAAACAGGGGGAAAAAAAAAAATAGCCAAGCTAGAACCCAAGAGAGCAAGGAGAAATCAAGAGCAGAAACCCTAAAGGTAGTTTCAATGGGAATACATTCATGGAAAAATTGGTCAGGAAAAAATTCCCTTCTCACAAAAAGATAGTCTAATAAGAAAGAAAGAAAACCTGTCTTGCTGTGAATTTTCTACTCGTATTCTGACCTATCTCTTCACACATGAGATCCTCAGCAATTCCTAGAAACTCAATGTATTTTAAAGAGGGGGGAAATGTAATGAATATATTCTCTGATCCCCTGGAAGATAGAAAAGGACTGTAGCAGACAGAACCTCATTAGCAGACGAAAAAACATGACAAGGGCAGGGTTAGGGCCAAAGCTAAGCCTGCCTTTGTTCATTTATACATTTCTAGGCAGCGGAATAAAATATTTTATTGAGTTTTTAATTAGTGTGATTATCATTATGAAGAACAATGATAATCGCCATCTCACATATGAAAGATGCTACCAGAAGGAAAAAGAGATCATTTCCTTACTAATTTGGTGTCAATTCATCTTTCAATTCTAAAACTGAAATATCATTTTCAAGATTACTGGCATAAAGGGCTAGATTTAAGCCTTTCAAATAAAAGACAATTAAAATTTGACAAGAATTTCCAGTAGAGCCCAGGGGCCGCGGGTGTTACAGGGAGAAGAGCAGGCTGGGGGGGGCTGGAGTAACCTGAGGAACTGTGGCAGGAGGGGAGCCCACAACTGAGACATGGAATGGCCCACTTCAGGGACAGGGTCTGGGGACACTATTACCTAACAATCACCTGGGGATCTTGTGGAAATGTAGGCTCTGACTCAGTACCAAGATCTAGAGTGGAAATGCAATTCTCAGCAATGAACCAGTCCGAAGGCCTTGGTAGTGTTCCCCTCGGGCAGAGGCAGGGAGGAACGCATGCTCGCCTTCCTTCAGTGCCGAGAATTCTTCCCGTCCTTTTCTTCTTGAACAAGTGGGAGGGCATCACTCCTCCCCACGTAGACCGAACCCAAAGACCAAACCAGCCAGCTCACAGTGACCCTACAGGGCAGCAGCGCACTGCTCCGCAGGGCTTCCCAGGCTGGGAATCTTGGCAGGTAACTGACTGACTGCCCGAGACCAAATGTCCCTTTGCCGCAGCGTATGTATAGGCCTGCTATCAGTTCTGCCAGTCTCTCCTCTTCCAACTTCTCCCTGGACTAGCCTTTTCTCAGCTGCCTTTTGTTCTATGAGGGGAAAAAAAAGACTCCAAATACATATACCGACTAAGTCTTACACAGGATGCAGACAAGGCAAGGCATCTAGATATGGGGGACCACAATGACAAAGGAAACCATCACAGCGGCAGACCCGTCGCTGTCCCCAGGGGACCAGGGGAGAGGGAAAGGGACCGTGACTGGGGCACATCCACTAAGCAGCTCACGAAGCACCTACGGGGTTACTCAGGGACGACCCGTGGCCATGCGGCCCGCTACTCCAAATTCCATGAGCACACAGGGCGAAGTAGCCCACCGCCAAACACACGCTGCCCGAGGACACGGCTAGTTTGGGGCCAGAAAGAACTCCAGTGGAAGCGGAGTCTGGTGGTGACCGAGATGGAGGGAGAGCTCACTGGAGCCTGAGGTTTTGGGCCAGCTACATTAAAGGCTGCTCCCCTCGCCCCCACCTCAGGCACCAAAGTGCCTCTGATCTCATCTTCTCACCTCCAGTCCTGTTAGAGATGGAATGGTGTCCCCTACAGGCATGTGTTGCCATTCCTAATCCTTCTACCTGTAACAATGGGGAGAACCCTATTTGGGAAGGGGTTTTAACAGGCTGATGAAGACACATTAGCGTAGGGTGTTGTTTTCAGATACAAAAGAGCAAATTATGGAACCACGCAAGCACGCACGGGGAGATGGGGGATAGCAAATGAAGGGGGACATAAAACTTCCTACAGAGCCAACAGAGAGAAAGCCTTTCCCAGATCCTGAACCCCAAATTCAAATGTCTCGCCTCCTACATTGTGAAAAGATATATTTGTCCGTTAAAGCCACCTCCTTTCTGTCAGAGCTGCACTCGATAACTGAGAGCCCTTCCTTTCCCTCCTGTCCTCCCGTGTCTTCTGCTCCCTCTCCTCTTCTACAATGACTCTGACCAAGATCATCAACAGCCCATGGGACCCTCAGGCCAATGGATATGTTTCTCACCTTATCTTATTTCACTTGACAGAGCTGGCCCTTGACGTCTATGCCACCACTCTCCCCGCCTTCTGCGCCCCGGGGTAGCTCGTGCTCAGTCCTCTTAACACCCTCTTCTCGCTCTGCCTCACCTCAGCACAGGCGTGGCACTCAGCTCCTCCATTGATCGCTGCTTACTCGCCCTCACCCTGCGCTGTCAAACACCATCTCTAACTAAACCACCAGTTGCCACTGAATCGCTTCTGACTTCTGGCAGCCCTGGGCCTGTCAGAGTAGAACTGTATTTCACAGGGCTTTCAATAACCTGGTTTTTCAGAATCAGACCACCAACCCTGTCTTCCAAAATATGAGTGGCCTCTCACCAGCAATCTGGCAGTTAACAGCCAAGCACATTAACACTTTACACCACCCAGGAAGGGACTCCATCTCTAGGTGAATGGCCCCCCCAAATCTATGTCTAGTTCATACCTCCCTCCTAGGCTCCATTCTCATGTAACTGCCCCCATCCCTGAATATCCCACACGGGCCTCAAACTAACAGGCCTGCAGGGCGACACTGACCTTTGTGAGCTCTGGGCTTTCCTGTCTTTGGGGCCTCTTCTTCCTCTTTAAGGATCTATTTTAAAATTAGACATTGATAGAGACAAATACACCCCTGAGCCTAGTGCCCTGAGATTATCTTTACACCTTAAACCTTAAGTCTCCCCAAAACCAATAGTTCGGGTTAGCTAGCAGAAAATGTCTGCCTTGGGCAGGCCTCTTCTAAAACCTATGACAATGGATCCAATTGGAATACCTCCTCCCCGCCTTTTAACTTTAACAGGAATGGAAACATTTTCAAGTCCCAAGGTCCTAGGCCTGGTACCCACAGGCCTCCCTCCCAGCAAATCCTGCTCCCTGCTCTGTGCTCCACAGCTCAGCGACAGCAAGTCTGCAATGCCAATTTCATCCTCAAGCTGTCCCTCTCCCCACATGCAATCAGTCCAGTCTTTCCTTTTAGAAGCCTTAGGCATCTCGCAAATCTCCCCACACCACCCAAACCAGGCCACAACCCTCTCTTTCCTAGCCAACGGCAACAACCTGCTCATGGGCCTCCGTTCCTCCCGCGTGCACCCTCCCCGTGGCGTCCTCTACTCCTACAGCTCCCACGCTCACCAGAAAGCTATTCAGTGGTCTTAAAGCGCAAATTCTTTGGCGTGCCTTACAAAGATGGATGCCTTTGAATTACGGTGTTGGTGAAATGATTCAAAGGCCCACGACGCCCCAGAAGAACAAGCACATCTGTCCTGAAAGAAGTCCAGCCACGTGCTCCAGAGAAGTGCGAGTGGTGAGACGTATTTTGGATGTGTTATCAGAAGAGACTGGTCTTCGGGAAAGAAATCATATTTGGTAAAGTGGAGGGGCAGGGAAAAGGAGGAAAATGGTCAAGCCGATGGGCTGACACAGTGGCTGCAACAATGGGCTCTAATCTAAGAAGCCATATGTCGAGTTAGAGCAGTGGTTCTCAACCTTCCTAATGCCTCCACCCTTTAATACAGTTCCTCCTGTTGTGGTGACCCCCAACCATAAAATTAGTTTCGTTTCTACTTCATAACTGTCATTTTGCTACTGGTATGAATCGGGCAACCCCTGTGAAAGGGTCGCTTGACCCCCAAAGGGGTCGCCACCCAAGGTTGAGAACCGCTGAGTTAGAGGCTAAGCTGGCTGGCATGACAACCCTGGTCCCAATACTCCCCCATAGCCTTGTCTCCTATCCTTCGCCACCTGGCACTTGCTGCCCAGGGAGCTATCTATAAACAGGGAGACTCCAAGTCAGGCACCTACAAAGGGGCTTCCAAAGTTCATGGAAAAATGGAATGAAGAAAAAGTGAACACATCAGGGGAGGTGGGTGGGGAACGGAGAGCTGATAGCAAGCTGATACAAGAAGTACAAGAAGAACATGTTTTGAAACTGATGATGGTAGGAGTGCACAACACTGCTTGATATGACTGAACTACGGAAGGGTCTGATGTCGGGACTATGTCCTAATAAAATGGTTTGGAAAAAAAGAAAGAACGGGCAGGTCTCTCCCAGGCCCTGACAGCTCTGGGTAGGCTCAGAACCCTCGAAGCTCTGCCTCTTGCCTACTCCGCAGTGCAGTGAGGACACCTAAAGGGGCCAGTCATGCCCAGGCTAAGGGACCGGCACACATACCCTGGCGCCTTTTGGACTTACATGTTGGCTGCTATCCAGGCAGGGTGGTCGATTCGTTAGCTGCAGCAAAGGTTTCCGAAAAGGTGATTGGAAACATTCCTGACTCTGAGTCTCACTGCTGCCTTTCCGTTTCCTAGGAGTCTAGGAGAAAGAATTGAGAAAGTTTAAAGCTTAAGGATACAGAGATCACCATAACGGCCGCCAGCAAGTGGAAGACTCGATCTTGTATCGCCTCCACAACAGCTCTGGAATCTCAGTTTACTTTTAATCAGCCTCATATAACAGCTGAGAAAAATCAAAGCTTAACAAGGTTAAGTAATTTATCTAAACCAAGGAATCCACACTGGAGAAGCAAATGATGTGGGCCTGTGAAGAACACGGGGTCATGCTACCCTCAGATCTCCACTCCAAAAGCCCCAGGCAGGATTGAACAACCATATGTGCCACCCCCCCACCCCGGCCAGCTTCCCAAAGGAGGGACAAGAGGATAGCCCCCAGCTCCCAGTCACCCCACACCAGAACAGTGAGCACAGTAGCACCACACGCATTTTCAGGAGGGAAAAAAAAAAACCAGCTGCAAACCACACCATTCACAACCCAGGGGCAAAGAACGCTACCCCAACTTCAAATCTGAAACCCAGGGAAAAGGCAAGGGGTGGATAATGTGCCTCCCTCACAGGTAAAGGAGCCAGCTAAACATCAACAGAGCAACTGTCGGACCAAGGCTCGTTCCAAACCATCAGGTGAGATCCCACTTGTACAAGTTTGTCAAGGTGTATGACCTGCTAACAATCCTATTAAGGCACACCTGACACAAAACCACCAGGCCCCTCCCCTCTCCCTACATGGCTCCCCAAAGTCCCTTCTAGTCTTTCTGTAGTCGATCCTTCTTTCTAGTCTACGGTTACAATGGCCAGTGCCAGAGCTCACAGAGCTCTTTCTGAAAGACGCGCTACAGTGTCTGATTTACTTTGGTTTTCGTAGCTGCTACCCATAGGAGCCCTGGTGACGTAGTGGTTGCTTACCGCAAGGTCCGCAGGGTGAAACCACCAGACCCTCGGCAGGAGAAAGATGAGGCTCTCTACTCCTGCAGAGTTAAGTCTCAAACACCCACAGGAGCATTTCTACCCTTTCCTATGGGATCCCTGAGTCAGAACCGAATTGGTAGGAGTGGGGGAGTGAGTGAGATCCATAAGCAGTCTCAGCAAAGCTTCCAAAGCACAAGGCCCGGTCCAAAGTGGGGCACATTGTACTTCAGCATGAGCTGGGGCCAGAGGGGGCAACCCCATCAAGTGTATGGCCCATGTGAACACAGGACCTCAAGGTAAGCCCAGAACATCCTACTGTACTGCAACTCTGGGCAGAAGCAGAGAGCAGGCTGCTAACTGCAGTTGGGGAACCTTTCTGCCTCAAAGCAGTGAAAGGGCCCAACCCAATCTGCTCTTTTGCTCCGGAATACGCTGTGTCAACAGGACAACTGACTGCATTCGCTTCTGCTGAGTACCTTAAGATGTGGATTTTATCCTCCTCCAGCTCAATACCTGGCACATAAGAAGCACTCACTAAACCTTCACCTAATTTACATCACAATTTATTTACAAAATAATAAAGAGTGAGTTTGGAGTACGCACCACAACCCCAGGCTGCCAGTCTTCATCATCCGAGCATCTGCCTTCAGGCTTCCTCTTAGCCAGCTGGCTGGGAGCTAAGCTCCTCCTCTGGAGGGAAAGAGTGGAGGCTGGGCACCAGCAAGGATCTTGTTGCCTGGGCCCCTTAGACCCAGACCTCGGGCCCCCGCACCCAGTCCCACTGTGTCACACTTACCATCCTGGGCCCAGGAGCATGAAATATCAAGTGGCCATCAGCCGACGGTCAAAGGCACTCACTCAGCAGTTGAGAATACAGGCCCCGGGCCTGGTATATCGGGGGCTGCTGTGTTGGGAGGACCGGCTATTAAACCGTGGGGCATGGGTGGAGAGGAGGCGCAAACCCGGCCCAGGGCTGGAGTTAAGGCACAAACGGCAAGCGTCAGTCGCCAATTAACTGAGGTTAAGAGAGGGGGTCTGGATGGGGGCGGGGGGTTGCTAGGGGAAGGTCCGTGGAACCCTAGAATAAGCAGGGTACAGTAGGGGGTCTGGATGGGGGCGGGGGTTGCTAGGGGAAGGTCCGTGGAACCCTAGAATAAGCAGGGTACAGTCGGGATAATGATCCCACGTCGGATTGAAGGGTAATCCCAAACCAGGAGAGAGAGGTTGGGCCGAAAATCTGGGGGCTGGAGAGGGCGAGGCGCCAGGGTCCGGCGAAGCAGTAGTTCTAGGTCAGAGCAGAGGTCCACGCGGCGCGGCGTGGGTGGAAAATGCCCAGGGCTCGGAGGGGCGCTAGTGGGCGCTGAGAGCAGCAGGGAAGCCTTCCAGCCGAAGCAGCTCCCCATGAGCTTCCCTCTCCCCCGAGCGCGCGTTAACAGACGGCGCAGCCCGCCAGGCCCGGCAATCGAACCGCCCGCGGTGCTGCCGCCGCAGCACCCATTGGCTGCGTTCGATGCGCTCGGCGCTCGCGACCCAAAAAGAGGAGGCGGGGCCAGGGTTGTGGCGGGGGCCTTACGCCCGGGAGCAGAAGACAATAAACGGAGCTAGCAGCGGTGGAACCCGGAGATGGAAGGGCAGGGCCACCGGTGGCGGGAGCGGCCGGGCGGCGCCGCGAGGCGGGGCCTGAGCTGTCCGCGGGCGGAGCTGGGCCTGGAGCGCGCCCTGGGCTCCCTCTGGCCGGACCGCGTGCGGACTCCGAGGAGATGCCACTCCTGCCGGAGCCTGGGACTTCGGGAAGGCGGCAGGCACTTTCCTGCGGCCTTTAGATCGAGTTTTGGAGCTGACCTCCCCTGCCCTATGCCGGGCCTGGAACTGGGTATGGACGGGG